TTTGGTTTCAGTTTTTGTTGAGCCCAAATTCGATTTGTCGTTTTGCAAATTGATGACGTGGCTGCAGATACTTGCAACAGCAGCGAGAAAAAAAAATAAGTGGCAAGTTGCAAGTGCAACTCGGGTAACTGCAGCAGCTGCCGCAATGTCTATCCCAAATCGATCCAAGCTCGGGGCGAGTACGTATAACTTCACATGCTACACACCAAAGAGTTGGCCCTATATATAGTTGTGTGTGTTTGTGTGTGTGTGTGTGATTATGTGTGTGTGTGGAGGCCAGGCCTATGCCACGCGATGTGATTGTGAATGCGCAAATGTGACGACGTTGCCAAAGGCAGCTCCAGGCTGGAGCTGACTGCCTGGCTAGGATGACGTAGTCCTCAGTAACGGAGCTTGGCTAAACTGTGTTAGTGTGCCTTTCAGTCCGGGGTTGTTATTGCACAGTACAACACACACACACACACACACACACGCACACATACACGCAGGCAGGCAGCGTAACTGCGGCGGCATTAAATGGCATTTTTTGGGTTCGCCTGACGTTTCATGCTTTAAACGCGCCATTTACTACTGAGTGCGCTAAATTATTAAAAGCAAAACGCGCTACTACAATACACACACAAACACACACACACAGCGCCACAAAGTTCATTAAATACCATGTATGCAAAATGCGGCTGTTGCTGTTTGTCATTTTTGTGCGGCCCCTAAAAGTATGCAGCGCATCATAATCAGCGGACAGGTGCGAGTGTGTGTCTGTGTGTGTTTGTGTTGCCTTAAAGCTTATACAAATATCTGTTTTCATGCTGTTTCTGTGTGTGTGTGTGTGTGTGTGTGTGTGTGTGTGCGGCTTTATGCGTCACGTGAGAATTCCCTTTATTATTATTTGAGTTTTGCTCGCTGCCTTCGTGCATATCACGTATACGCAGCGTGTACCAATACATGTACATATATATGTATATATGTTATATACATATTCGCATTTGATTCGCAAAAGGCATTGATTTTCAATTTCAATCCGCTTCAGTTTATTGCGAGCTGCCTGCTTATGTACGCTTCGTCAAGCATTTGGACAACATGCCTCAATGTTTACTATACACTCGAGAAAAAACACGTGCCATTCCTTTTTTTTCAAACAAAAAGTTCTGTGATAATCTAATTTTTTTCACCATCGTGAAGTTAAATATTCTGCCTTTTTGGAAAAAAAAATAGTCTGACATTTTTTACTATTCTTTTTCTATATTCTAGAAAAAAATTTGCTGCTTCGTGAATAGAAATAGGCTGCTTTTTGCAAAAGAAGTTATTTATCAAATTTTTCTGCTTCTTCATGAAGAAATATAAACTGAAATTTTATATATAACTTTATATCTCGAAAGAATTTTCTGCTTTTTGGAAAATATTTTCTATTTATCAGCACTGCTTTTTTATGTTTTCTAAAAAGTAAGTTCCTTTTTTTCGAGTGTATAAGCTTGAATATAGTATGAATAGTTTTAAACAGAAGAGTCAGCGGAATCAAAAAGCTTTTCGATTTCGTGCTGTTCGTTTTTTCGAGTGTATAAGCCTGAATATAGTATGAATAGTTTTAGACAGAACTGATTTGTCGGGGTGTTGAGTTTATCTGGTTGTGTTACACTTTATTGTTATTGCCCGCTTGTGTTTGCATTCAAATATTTTTTTGTTTTTTTCGCTTTTCTTTATTTTTCTCTTTTTTTTTATTGTTGCTCAAAATCAACAGACAAAACTTTGCACGTTGCCTTTGAGCGGTTTATTTTTGTGTGGCACTTTTTTTGTTTTTTTTTTTTTGCCTGCGGCTGACTCAGGACACGCACACACAATCACACACACACAAAACACACACACACAGAACACGCACACACACACAGAACACGCACACACACACAGACACACAGACACACACACACATTCGCACACTCGCACACAGACACTCGCGCGCGTAAAATATATAGTATGAAAATTTCAAAAAATTGCTCACAATTTTCTCGCTCGCCTGGCTGTTGTTCTAGTTCTAGACGTAGTTCTTGTTGTTCTTACTGTTGTTGTTGTTGATTTTTGTAGTCTTTTATATATTTTTTATATAAGTCTTCTGCTCGCTGCACGCTGCACGACCACGCGCTACAACGTCTGACTGCGTTCTGTTCTGGCTGCGTCCGAGTCCGAGTCCTAGTCCGAGTCCGTGTCGAAGTCAGCTCGTTTTTGGGAATTGGTGAAAGAATTTTTTGATTTCACCAGCGTGCGCTCTGGTGCTCACAGGACATGCGCACTGCCGTCCTGCAGGTGACACACATTTCCGCGCCAACGTCGATGAAGTGGACGCATCCTCCCTCCCTTGCCGCTCTGGCGCTCATAAAGTGCGCTGTTTTGTACTATTTACAACGGCCATCGGTTAAAGGAACCGTTTGCCGTGCTTCTTACCCAATTTGGGCTGCATTCGACGAGTCGACGGGTCGCGAGAGCTGTTGGGGATTGGCCGTGTTTGCCAAACTTTGGGCGTGATGCGGCGCAAATGTCATTTGTCCGGCTGTACTGTACAGTGGAGGTCGACTGTGGGGCCCAGGGAGTTAAAAGTTCGCATTCGCCACATCTATAATGGATGAGCTACTGGGCTGCACGAATACCTACCTATTTGATTAGTCCGGCTCGCTTTCGGGTTAACTGACCCTTGGCAGACAACCAGCCAACAAAATCATTTTGCGGCAAACAAAAAAGTTCAACAATTCTATCGTTAAATATTTACAAAACATTTGCCATCCAGCAGCCCAGCTCGTCCACTCGACTACTCGAGAACTAAAGTTAATTAATGCTGCCAACTAATTGCCAAACTCTATTTCAGATATTATTTCATCTATTTGCACTGTTCAAAACCCATTTGCCAATGCAAATACAACTAAAACTCGCCAGCACAGTTGTCATTCCCATAAATGTTCATTAACATATGAATATTTAGCTTGAATTCAAGTTCATAAATGTGCAATCCTCTCGCCTTTAACGACAAAACTTTATGAAACATGATTAACTTTGTTAGTTAGAAAAGTATCTTCAACTTTGTTGAAACTAAACCAATTTTCATAATGTACAGCATTTAGTTGTTAATTTGTTTTTCTGCAACACTTGTTTGTTATATTTGAAAGAAAAGTGAGCTTAGTTTTTTCCATTTTGAAAAAAAAACGTTTTTAATTAGTTTTTCTAATTTAATGGAAGCGTTTTGACATTTTTGAACAACACATAGAAGTTCGGTACAACATTCAACATTGTAGAATGAGCCGAGCAACGCCGGGTAATTTCTTTCACTTAATAAATAAAGTAACTCCCATAAGATCATGTATAAACTGCAGACTATTTCCATATGTGATACTCCGGCTGTCAGTACACTCTAAGAATTAAAAAAGAAAAACACAAATATTGATTTGTTGTTTTTTTTTTCAGTGTAAATAGATTTCCTTGACTATCATAGCTTGGTTTAAACTGAAGCAATTTTCTGGTTAGAGCCCATTTTGCTCCTGATTTAATCTCAGGATGAATTTTACTCATAAATTTTATAAAACTTTTGAATATTTACTTAATAACATCTTCAAGAGTTGTTTCCGTGTTGAACTCCTGATGAAAGCAATTGAGATACTTGAATATTTTATTAAATTAACGCTCGATGACTTGGCTTTGGGCCAAGTGCGACAACAGGTTTTGCATTTGTAAAGGAAACTGAAGTCGAAATCCAAAGCTCAATGAAATCAAAAGCAGCAGCCAGAGCCAGAGTCAGAGCCAGAGTCAGAGCCCGAGCCAGCCGCCTGTCAATTAACACATTAAAACGCGCAAAATTGAGCTGAAAAGTAAACAAGGCCAACAACATCGCCAGTGGGCCGCGATTAGAAGCATAGAATTTCGTAATGGAGCACTTAGCGCCCCAAAAACCATGGCAAATAAACCCAGACGAGCCGAATCAAACGCAGCTCTGCTCTGGCCTGGCCTGGCCTGGAGTTCGCACTGAAGCCTGGGAACGAGCTGCTGTGTGTGGGCAGCCCGTGGGGTGGGGCGAGAGGGGAGGCAACGAAGGGGTGTGGGGGAGGGGGGGGGGGGGGAGCGGCTGCATCAAAGCGCTAATGTTTGACCCAGTTTGGAGCACTGCAGGAAAGGAACTGCGCATAACTATTTGGCTTTTTGATCATTAAAAACTGGTTAGCCTGGCCAAAACGAACAGAAAATAGACAAGAGTGCCTTAGTGGGGAGTGCACGACTACAAGATACCCTGAAGCCAGCCAGCAATGTACAAATATTTCGACATATTTTATGCTACGTGTACTTCCTATATCATTAGTCCCGCACTTTTGGCTATATGTTCCTGATTAACTAGGGTGTTTATTGTTCGAACTTTTCTGAAATTTTCAGATCATACAAGTGTTGTTTAAATGTGTATAAATTCCAAAGTTCTAGACTGTATCACTAAGAATTTTTGTTGTTCAGTTTAAGAAGGAACGTGGATAGGCTATAAAAAAGTGAACTATAATTAGGCTGTGTATATTACTTAAGAGTCTACATACCAAATTTGGTGTCTCTATCTTCTATAAGTTCAGAGATATGCATAAGCAACTGAATATCGATATCGATTTTTATCGATTTCCGAGAAACAGACTAAGTTATCGATTTGAAACTTGATCCTTTCGAACACTGAAAGGATTAGTGTTAAAAATGGCAAATATCTAGCTCTTATAGTCGCTGAGATCGAAGCCTTTTTACAGGCAGACAAACATGGCTAGATCGTTTCGGCTGTTGATGCTGATCGGGAATATATATATATTGATATACTTTATGTGTCGGGGGCTCCTCCTGCTGCTCCTGCTGCTTGTAACATACAACTCGTGATAACCAATCCACCTTTTTTTTTTGCACATTTTCAATGGGTTCAATGGGTATAAAGCCGAACACAAACAGCAACAAAGCCAACGAGACGCCCATGCCAATGGCGCGAGCTTTTTTGTGGACACCTCGCGCCGCTGGAGGCTTTAAAAGCGCCAACGCCGCCGGCCAGGCCAAGAGTTTTAACATTTCGATTAACACAACTTGCGCGCGCGCAGCTAACGGAACAGTCATGGCGAATCGATGGACACCTTGTGGCCTGCTCCTGCTGCAGCTGCTGCAGTTGCTGATGGGCGGCGTTTCGGGCTTTCCGGACGGTGCGCCGGCGGATACGTGTGTTAAGCAGCGCGCCAATCAGCCCAATCATGGCAAGGCGCGCACCCAGCCGGCGCACACGAATCCCTTCGAGGTGGTCGCCAGCTCGCAAACCTATCATCCCGGCCAGCAAATTTCGGTGGTCATCTATGCCCAGGAACAGCATGAGGCGACCACATTTCGCGGCTTCTTTCTGCAGGCACGCGATGCCAATTCGAACGAATGGATTGGCGAATGGGAGCAAAGCGAGAATACCAAGACGATACCCGAATGCTCGGCCATAACGCATTCGGACAATCGGGATAAGTTGGGCGCCAAGCTGATCTGGAAGGCGCCACAAAACAAGCGGGGCAATGTCTACTTTACGTAAGTATAGAATATATATATATATGTGTGTATATTAAAGCAACAAGCTAACTTGGCCAAATCATTGTCGGTGCAAGGCGCAGCTCATTAATCATACGACACGTTGACCCACATAAGAAATGCGCACATAATTGTCCGCAAAATGCCGGATAATCAAAAGACTTATGTAATTGATTTGCGGCAAAAGAAAAGGGAAAAAAAATCCTAGAAAAAAACCAGTTTTTTTAAAGCAAAAGAGTTGACAATGACGTCGGCAAAAAATTGTTGACGCTTCTCTTAAATGCAACACAAAAGCGACACTGTGCTGCATGGTCGCGTTTACCACAGAGCAAGTGTGTGTGTGTGTGTGTGTGTGTGTGTGACAGTTGCTTCATTTATCACTTGGCATACGCATAATGTGCCAAATGATTTATAAATTATGTGTTTGTCAACACTGAAAAGCAACTACAAAGTTAATACTACACTTGGCTTCGTTCTGACTTTTTGATAAATTGCCGCAATAGCTGGCTGAAAGTTGTAGCGCAGTGTAACCGAACCAAAAGTGTCGACTCATCCAGTTGCGGCTATTTATAGCGATTGTTAACGTTTAACTAAGTACTTGTAACAACATATTACATTGTTTTGTCAAGTCTTATAAAAGATCTTATACAACTGATATAACACAAAGCATTGCCGCAAAGCATTAAAAAAGATTAAGATCTTATACGTCATAACAGTGTATTGTATGCATAAACATTTTGAACGCAGTGTTGCAAAACTCTTTAAAGATCGAATCAAATTTATATGAAAACTTAGCATTGTATTGTGTGCTGGAAAGTCTTATCTAACTTATATTTAATGCTCCCCATGCTCCCTTGTAGCGCAGTCTTATACAATATCTTGTAAAGTTTACACAACTCATAACAATGAATTGTGTGCTGGAAAGTCTTATAAATATATTTGTGCATGCTAATTTTTAACAGCAGTGCTAAAAATTCTTATAAAATATCTAATAAATGTTGTATAAAAACAATATTCTGTGCTAAAAACTCTTATAAATAGGCTTATATAAGTGCTAATATAAGTGCATGCTAATTTTTAGTGTAGTGCTAAAAAGTAACATATCTTATAAGGTTTTTATAACACACAACATTGCATTGTCTGCTTAAAAGTCTTATAACAGAACCTATTAATTGAAGTGCTGAAGTCTTATAAAATATCTTATAAAGCTTTTACATAACATAAATTTGTAATTTGTACATCCACTCTTGTAGCGCAGTGTTGCAAAGCCCAAGAATCTATACTAAAATTGTCAACTCATCTAGCTATGCCCGTTTATAGCTTATATTTAATTAAAAACTTGTTTTTATTTTATTTAATTTCCTTGCAGCGGCACTGTGCTAAAAGATTACGGAAACTTCTGGAGCGATATTGTGGGCAAGGTGCAAGCGCAGCCCCAATAGGCTGCAAGCCAGTACAATTCCCGAATTGTGCATTAAGCAACACTTAATTTAGTAGACAAAAAAATAAAACAAAACTAAAAAAATTGTTGTTTTTCTTTTTTAGTGCAAAAGCTCATTAATGACCAAAACGGGCCAAGCCCCTTGCCAAACAACAGTAAATTATTGGCTTAACGTTTATGAATGACCACTCACTCACACACATTGACTGCGGCCCACACACGCACACACACACAACACATACTAACAATACAGGCACACGTCTCACGGGCTCTCTCTCTCTCTCTCTCACACATACACACGCACACTGAGAAACACTTTGACACCGCACGATTAGGCACACGTTTAAATTTCCAGGCACGTTGCCTGCATCTTATTGGAAATTCGCTTTGCCAAACGGCCGGTTGGAACTAAATTGGAAAATTGAAGCACCTCTTATACGTTCTAAAGCAATGAGGATGATAAAGTAATTAGAGCAGTGCGCCCTGCTTGGCATAAATAAAATGTCAAAGCCACTTCAAACCTGAGAAAGTTCTTATTTCCTGCAGCGATAGCATTGAATCAATAAGATAAGAACTTATACATGCTTGTCAATAATATATGCGCACAAACATGTCTACACATGTTTGGCTACATACTTACTGTTATGTATGGCCCCGGCAATTAACCAGCCAATCTGTCTGTTCTGTGTACAGAGAGCCTCGGCTAAAGCGGTTCACGCGCTTTCGTATTAAATATGCATTCCGTATAGAGATGGATTCAATTACATCAACGGAAGCCTAGTCAAGTGGTTGGCTACCAGCTAAATACAGATCCGAGCTGTCGGTAGACAAACAGAGGTACAGACTAGCTTGACTATGTTGACCCAGCTGCAATGCATGTGAATGCTTTTAGATATGGGAAATATGTGATTATAATTTCATAAAAATTCAATATCCTAAAATTGAAAATTTCACTATCATGAAAAGTCCTAAAATGACCTATTTTAAGTTCTGAACAATTTTATTTAATAAAAGTCAGCTGTCAAATTTTAATAAAACGTTGAACGAAAAAGTTTCTATACAACTTTTTAAAAAATTAGTCGGTTTAAAGTTTTCTGATCTTTGAACAAAATGTGCTAGCTTGCAATGACGCACCTTAGTCAGGACTTACTGTATTTGCTTGTTTACTGCTTGCCGTTGCACTTGTTTACGCCTTTCCAGTGAAGTGCATGGCAACAACAAGCCGATGCGGCGAATTAGGGCGAATTGGGGCGGCAGCGCGGTGTAAATCGCGTGTTGTTTTCGCACGCTGCAGTCGCAGTCGCCGCAGTCGGCGAATGGCTGTGCGGTTCGCCAACTTGTTTTGATCGAATTCAGCGACTGTCTGGGCTTCGCCGCAGCTGCTGCGCCAGCGGCGTAGTCGAAGCTGTGCTGCTTGCAAGCTTCGGCTTGCCTTAGAAAGAGCGAACGACGCCTCTGCCTGGCTGGTTGACAAGTTCGTTGTCCAGCGCATGTTTTGGCGCACACGCTTTGCTATATTGTACGCACATATATAATTGTTGTTGATATTCCCTCTCTCTCTCTCGTGTTCATTTCATTTATCAGCAGTCAGCGGCGCAGTCGCCGTCGCCGTCGCCGTCGCAGTCGCAAGCGCAGTTCTCGATCGCTGCCAATCGCAACACTTTCAGTTATATTTTTACGACCTGCCGACGAGGTTCGCAGATCGAATAGAGATCATCTACAATATGGTTATCAATTTTGCCGCCGGCCCAGCCAAGTTGCCCGAAGAGGTCAGTGAAAATCAAATATAATCAGATTAGTTTTAGGTTATAAACGAGTCCTTGCTTCACATACTAGGTGCTGAAGGAAGTGCAGACGAATCTGCTCAACTGCAATGGCAGCGGCATTTCGGTCATGGAAATGTCCCATCGTTCCGGCAACTATGCCAAAATACACGATGCGGCCATTGCCGATCTGCGCGAGCTGCTCAATGTGCCCTCGAACTACAAGGTGCTGTTGATGCAGGGCGGCGGCACCGGACAGTTTGCGGCGGTTGCTCTGAATCTAATCGGATGCACGGGCACGGCCGATTACGTCATCACCGGCTCGTGGTCTGCCAAGGCGGCCAAGGAAGCAGCCCAGTACGGCAAGGTGAACGCCGTGCTGCCCAAGCTGCCAAAGTACACGGACGTGCCCCGCCAGAGCAGCTGGAAAATGGATGCGAATGCCTCGTATGTCTACTATTGCGACAATGAGACGGTGGAGGGCGTGGAGTTCGATTTTGTGCCCCAGTTGGACGCCAAGGTGCCATTGGTGTGCGACATGTCGTCCAATTTTCTGTCCCGGCCCATTGACATCAGCAAATTTGGCGTGATTTTTGCGGGCGCACAAAAGAACATTGGCCCCGCGGGCGTTACAGTCATCATTGTCCGTGAGGATCTGATAGGCAAGCACTTGAAAATCACGCCATCCATACTGAACTTTGAGCAGATGGACAAGAACAACTCGCTGCTCAATACGCCGCCCACCTTCGGGTAAGTTAGGATTGCGATTAAGCTGGGCAGCACCTTAATATCTTACTTCTCTTATAGCATCTATGTCATGGGCCTGGTCTTCAAGTGGATCAAGCGCAATGGCGGCGTCGCGGGCATGTGCGAGCGTGCCAAGGCCAAGTCGCAGCTCATCTACGAGATTATAGATCAATCGAAGGGCTTCTTTTACTGTCCCGTGCAGAAGCAGGTGCGCTCCCATATGAATGTGCCCTTCCGCATTGGCAGCGCCAGCGGCGACGAGAAATTGGAGAAGGAATTTTTGGCCCAGGCCGAGGCCGAGGGCATGATACAGCTGAAGGGACATCGCTCGGTGGGCGGCATCCGAGCCTCTCTCTATAATGCCATAACGCTGGCCGAGACGCAGCAGCTGGCCAAGCTCATGCTGGCATTCTACGAGAACAATAAAAACTAAAGCCTAATGCTTGCTCTTGCTGACTTATTATTTACAAAAGATTGCGGTCGGCAAAGATCTCGTCCAGCTGCGCCTCCAGCGTGGCGTTCGTGCCGCGCATGTTATCCACGACCTGTTTGGCCCACACGAAATACTGCTCGCGGCGTTCCTGCATAGGACATGGCAATTAGTCTTTATTTCTTGAGGAAGTACACGCTTCACATACCTCCGTCCAGCCACGAGGCTTGTTGATTTGCAGATCTCGCAGATTGTCCAGCTTGTCGGCCAGCTTGATGAATCTGGCACGGCGCGTGGCACGGGCCGCATTCTCTATTTGCAGGCGCTTGCGTTCCTCTTTGGCCAGGGTCTTGTCGTCGGTCAATTCGCGCACCAGGCTGGACACGTCCACACCAAACAGATCCTCCAGTTCGCCAAAAGTTGTGTCCGTGTCCTCAACCACATCGTGCAGCACGGCCGCCATGAGCACGCCCTCGTCCCGGATGCCCGCCTCTGCTAGGATTGTGCTCACATTTATTAGATGGTTAACGTATGGCGTGCTGTCCGGATCCTTTCGGCGCTGTTTGCTATGTTTTTGCGCCGCAAATTGCAGGCTTTTCAGAAAATCCAAAGATGCCATCCAAGCAATTTCTTATTTTCATTTGAATAAATCAGCTGTTGGCAGAGTTACGGCAAAACAAGCTGTGCCTCGATATAAAAAATCGATTGACTAGTATTTTTCAAAAATACTAACGAATATCGATACTGGCTTATGCGATGATTTTTTTGCTTTGCACCACAACCTCACTTCATCGCACTGCAACACTGACTGTCGCCTACGAAATAAGTAGGCAATTTAAATCACTTTTAGATATTTTCCTTGGGCTAACCTGTTCAATTGGGACTATATTGGCCTGATTTCACCTTTGCCGCTTACTCGCATCGATAAGAATAAGTTGAATAGGTAGTAAACGTCGATAGGTCAAAAATCGATATTTCTTAAATGGTAAGTATTTTCACCGCAACTCTGCAACACTGCAATAAATACTATCGATACATTTAGCCGATATTAAAAACAGCCCTGTCACGCCATTTCAAAATTCGCCCGCCAACTGGGAAAGACGATTTAAATTCAAAATAGTTTTTCTTAACGTTTATTATTACGTTGAAAACCCCATGGACTGCAATTATTTTGGACAGTCATTAGTTTTACTGCTCTCCTGCTTGGCGCTCTCCTGCTTGGCCTTCTCCTGCACCTCCGGCATAAAGAATATCTTGCGCGACTTCAAAGACGACCACTTCAAGCGCTTGATGTAATAGCTGAGCGCAATCAGGAACGTGGAGATTATTGTCACCTTGATGATGAGCAGCTTGCGAATATCGCCCTCCGGCTCCGATGTCCAGGCGAGAAACGTCACCACATCCTTGGCGATCTGGCTGGCCGACGGTGAAATCTCGTCATCCGGATAGGTAACCGATTCGTTGGATATCAGCTGACCCATGGCTATGGCGCCTCCGCTAAAGTACGGATTAAAGTAGAGGCCCTCGCGCAGCGAAAATCCAGCCGGCGGATCACAGTAGCCCGTCAACAGGGCAAATACATAGTCCTCGCCGCCCTTGCGCGCGGACACAATGTAGCTAAGATCCGGCGGATAGGCGCCGTTATTTGCAGCTCGTCCGGCTTCCTCGTTGGGATAGGGTAGTGGCAAATAGTCGGACAGCTTGCCGGGCCGATCGAAGTAGTTGCCCTCCTCGTCGGGCCCGTCATGCACCGTGATGCCCTCCGCCTCCGACTTGGCCTCCGCCTCCGTCATGCACACGCCCACCAGATTACGATAGGCAATATACTTCAACGAATGACAGGAGGCGCACACCTCCTTGTACACCTGATAGCCGCGACGGACGCCCTCCTTGTCAACGGCCGACAGCAGGCCCTTATGGCCCCAGCCGTGCTTGGACGGATGCACACAGTCGCTGGAGGCATCCACACTCACATCCATGGCGTACATCAGTAGTCCGGCTGCTCCAGTCAGGGCGCCAAGGGTCAACAACTTCTGGCGGGCTCCGGTCCATTTTCTGGCATTCGTCGATGTGCTGCGCCTTACGTACGCTGCATTTATGAAATTCTTCGAGGTTTTGAACAGCTTTGAGCCGAAATTTAACAATTTGCCAGCCATGTTAAAGCGCATACTTTTTTTTTGCGCGCTGACAGTTCCTGTAATTTCCAAGCAGTGCTGTAAAATGTCGACCGATAAAGCTGCCAGATCGGCCAAGGCGCAAACCAACACTAAACTTTAGTAATGCACAAGTCTTAAAAGCGTGATTAGAGTGAGCATGAGATAATATTATTATTGTTCCACGGTCTGGACGTCATTAGGTGCATTAATATAGGCATATTTGGTTTTCGAACTAACGTGCAATGGTCATTTAAATATTTGTCTCTTGGTAATTTACAACACTCATTTTTTGTTGCTTTCGTGTACAGTAAAAGCTCTATTAACGCAGATCTGTTTAAGCTGAACAACAAAGAAGTTCGTTCTAACAACAAAGAGCAGCATTTTCGGCTAAGAGAAAAATAAAAATAATTTGCGTAAATTTTATTTAAGTATTCCTAACAGAATGTCGTTAATATATATCAAAACATTTAAGAATTTGTCACATTGTCCAACACATAATTAACGCAACAACAAACTGGAAACGTACGCATCCGCATCCAAGAGAGCTTTTGTCTTTTGAACTTGTTCAACACTGTCAACAATATATGCATGTGCTGTAATTGCATTTTAAGAGTTGTAGCTGACTTTTACAGCTATGCACAGGCACAGTCAAGCTTAAACCGAATGCATATCTAAGATCTTTCTTCATAATGCAGCCACACACACACACGCACACATATCGTATGACAAATGCAGTTGACTTTCTGTAATTCTCTCAGGAAAAAAGCAAAGAACGTTATACATTAAAGCCCATTTAATTTGTTGTTAGCAACAACAACAACAACTCGTTCCTCTGCCTCCTCATCTACATAGATCTGTTTTGGGCCCGGGCACTTTCGTCCGTTATCTGGCCCGTCGGATCTGTAAATCTGTAACAGCCCAACAAACAGAGCTCTCTGTGGCATACAATATTTCCTAGCCCATTCTTCACACTGTGTGACCACCAAATCGTCAAAATCAGCCAGCCCAGGCTTTTTTTTTACAAAAGAAACAAAACAAAAACAAAACAAAAACTGCGGCCAAGCGACGCAAACGGTTTTTGGTGAAAATTTGTACCTGATTTTATATTTCCCTTTGCTGTTACACTATTTTTTATTACGTATTATCATGTTTACCATATTTTTACACGCGCTTACACACACACACACGCGCGCGCGCGCGCGCTCGCTCTGAGAGTGAGAGAGAGCGTCGGTGTGCGCGTGTGTGTGTGTGTGCTGCGTTCTGCTTCTGCGCAGCGATGCATAATTCCCACTTGGTAGCTGTTGTTTTCCGCGGTGGTTGCTGCCGCTGCCGACGCCGTCGCCGCTGCGCAATTAATAATTCTTTCGACTAGCGTGAAATTTTCATAAACAAGAAAGCGGCAGCAACCACAGAAACTTTCCATGAAAATCTTTGGGACACGAAAATACATGGGCCCAAAACAAATGAGTTCACGATCTAATAAATTTTACTCAAATTACAAAACGCATTCAAGTTTCCGAATGGTATTTATAGCTTTATCATGATGCTAGTTGGACTATAAGAAATAGACGCGCATGATTTGTATAAGCAGAAAACAATATTAAGCTGCATATTTTAATTAAACATGCAGCAAAAATACTAATCACGACGTCGGGCAACAGTGCTGTAAAACTCCAAAGTGCACTTATGTATATTGGGGGCCATTTGCAATACATGCATGCATCGATAGGTATCGATGTATGTGTGCGAAAAATGTAAAACAAAAAAAAATGGCCTGCAATGTTTATATTTATATGTACATAAAATGTGCGCATCTATGGCGCATGGTTTATATTGTACATACAACAAGCAGAACAACAACAAAAAGGTATATGCATAATTTTGCAATAAATGTAAATATTACTGGTCCGCTTCCTTTGGGAGCCACAGCGCCAGTCAGTTTCCTGTTTGCAGATGCTGCAGCCCGCTGGCCGCGTCGCTGTTGCAGCTTGGCTCCTGGCTCCTTATCTTTCTTTCTTCTTTTTTTATGCTGCAGCAGCAGCAGCAGCAGCACGAAAGCCAGAAACAAGAATTATAGACCAAAAGCCAGTTGCAAGTAAACTTCACACACACACACACACACACATTTGAGTGCATGTGCGTGTGTGTGCGTGCAGGAAACGTCTGTGTGTGACTAGAAGAAGTGAAGGCCCCAGCACAGAAAAGCACCAGCATCAGCAATTTTTTTTTTCGTTTTTCCAGCAATTGTGATTTCAGTTGCCAGCGAGCAACGACAAAGTCGACAACGACAACGATGACGACGATCGACAACAAACAAACAATGAATATCAATAAATTTTGCTTGAAAAACATACAAACACGCACACACACACACACACATTCTGTGTGCACATGTTGCGCTTGTGTATTAGTTGCAGCATGCCTATTGCTGTGTCAGCAACTGCATCAAGATGCAGCAACTGCATTGTCGGGCTGCTGCAATTTACTAACACACACACACACACACATACATACACACGTATAGTTGCATATGTACGTTTTTCATTATCATAAAACGAGATCACATTTTATTTAATGGTTACATCTGTCGCTGGCAGTGTTGCAAAGCGCTGCATTGCAATTACAATGCGCATTGCGTGCGCTACACGCGCTACTGTTGACGCGCTGTCAAGCGCACGCCTTTCACTGTGCGCGCAACGCTCGCTTGCTCTCTCACACTCTTCAATTGACATTGCGCTCTCTTTATTCTCGCTAAATTTTCTTTGCACAAAAAGCTATGCTCGTATATACAACAGCATCACGATTGTTTGTGGTTGTGTGTGTGTGTGTGTGTGTGTGTATGTGTGTGTGCGAGTGAGTGTGTTTGTGTTTGAGGGCTTTGTGCGGTTTGCCGTCGATTTTGTAAACTTTTGCCAGCATAGCCTTTAGCTTCATTATGACGTTGTAACTGTCTTTTCAATTTCTCGTTTTGCCCGATTCGCTGTGCCAATGATGCTTGGGGTCTGGTCTAGCAGATACACAGCTTACCGCTTACAGTGTGTGCTCTGCAGTGTGCGCAGCTCAGCAATGCTCTGATGAAGCTGAAGATGAATGTGCCGTACGCTTTATGTCCGTTTGTCTCTTATTTTACTACGCACATACACTCGCACACATACATGCACAGTTGATGAGTCACGTTGAGTGTGTACAGTGAAAGCTCTGCTCACGGAAAGCTATCTGTGACGCACATCTGCTTGAGCCATGTAATCTTTTTGGTAATCATCTTTGTCAAGCACACTATTTTATATACCATAACTGTCTTGTTTCAGATACTCTACCTTCTTTCTTGAAAAACAACTGTAGATGACAAAAATCGAAGAAATACATATTGTACTTAAAATAAAAAAAATAGTATAATCGACGGATAGCATCTTTATAAGAATATGAATATATTAATATATAATATAAATAATATTTATATATAAAATATAATTAAATATAAAAATTTTAAAAATATAAAAACATTTTTCTAATATTTA